CCCCGTCCTGCTCCCCTCCCCCACCCCCCCGCCCCCTCCTGCTTCCCTCTGCCAGCCTGCCTGCATCCCACCTGCATCCCTCCTCAATCCCACCTGCATCCCTCCTCAATCCCACCTGCACCCTGCCTGCTTCCCTCCTCCCACCCGCCTCCAGCCCATCTAGTTTTCCTCCTCCAACCTGCCCGCATCCCTCCTCAATCCTTCCTGCATTCCACTTCTATCTCTCCTCAATCCCACCCGCATCCCACCTGCATCCCTCCTCCAACCTGCCTGCATTCCACCTCTATCTCAATCCTACCCACATCCCACCTGCTTCCCTCTGCCAGCCTGCTCCATCCCACCTGCATCCCTCCTCAATCCCGCCTGGTTCCCTCCTCAATCCCGCCTGGTTCCCTCCTCCAACCTGCCTGCATCCCTCCTCAATCCCTCCTGTATCCCACCTCCATCCCTCCTCAATCCCACCTGCATCCCTTTTCCAGCCTGCCTGCTTCCCTCCTCAATCCCATCTGCATCCCGCCTGCTTCCCTCCTCCTGTCTGTTTCCATCCCTCCTGCTTCCTTCCTCCATCCCACCTGCATCCCACCCGCCTCCATCCCACCTAGTTTTCCTCCTCCAGCCTGCCTGCATCCCTCCTCAATCCCTCCTGTGTTCCACCTCCATCCCTCCTCAATCCCACCGGCAGCCCCTCCTCCAGCCCGTCTCCATCCTATCTAACTTTCCTCCTCCACCCTACTTGCATCCCACCGCTACCCTGTCTCCATCCCTCCTGCTTCCCACCTCCAACCAGCCTCCATCCTGCCTGCCTCTCTCCTGCATCCTGCCTCCGTCCCCTGCCCATCCCACCTCCATCCTGCCAGCGTCCTTTAAAGTTTTCATCTTGCAAGTCCAGCAAGTTTTTATCGTGTTCCTGTGTTATCTGACTTTTTGTCCCTCATTTTGGCTGGTTTTCAGCAGAAGTACAAACAGCACAGAAAGGTCATCTTAAGAGCCAGTTTCAGGTTCTGTTCTGAACCATGAGGATGCTCAAGTGCCTCTTTAATGAGAAAGAGACAATCAGACGTTGTTTTCTTTTCTCGCCCCCTCTCTGGGAGAAGGTGGGGATAATATATATATATTCTTTACCACCCTCAGAAATGGATGAACCATTTGGCTTGGGATAGAAAATAACTACTCTGATCAGTGAGCAAAAATCTGCTAAAATCCAGCAGCCAGCGTGGAAAATCAAAG